AAAACCTTCCTATCATGAGCAAGATGTCCTGCGTCTGATACACCCATCTGGAGATCATCTGCCACATCCTGCACCCATCTTCTCCTTGGCCTTCCTCTTCCTCTCTTCCCAGGCATATACCCCTCCTTTATTGTTCTCTCTAGACCTCCATGACGTTTCAAGTGACCAAAATATTTCAATTTTCTTTGTTTTATTGTCTTTACTAGCCAACCCTCTTCAATATTCAGCTCTTGAAGTATGGATAACCCTTTATGGTAAGATGTAAACATGGTTTTATAATGCATTTGTTTATTATTTAATTCATATAGTTTGAATATGGTTACAGACACCAATGAGTGGAGATGTTGCAAAATGAGACAAATCAAACAATAGAAAAGAGCGAAATTTTTCAATATCACGTCCACTACCAGACTCAGGGCACAAGACTGGTAGAGTTTTTGCTGAAGGAATAAGGACAATACAGTTTACGTAAACAAAGAATCAGTTAATTGATCTAAAACTTCTGTGGTGAGATTACCGTGAAACAATGAATTTTCTTTCAAGGGTTCCAGTGAAACAATAATTATTTTTTTTTCAAAACGATTTACCTTTGAGCTTTATTGTGTGAGCATAGGATATAAGTGACATCTGAGATTGGAAAGGGAACTACAGCTGTCGGAGACCGAGCTGCTTTCGTGCATGCTGGGATGACAGCGAACTTCTACAAATTATAAAGCGACATTAATCAACGCACTTGATACAATATATATATATATATATATATATTTGCACATTATTCTGCTTCCCGATTTCGTTAAGCTTCTCGCTGATTGTTCATTGGATTAATTCCTTTGAATTTCTTCAGTATGTCAGGATGCCTAATAATAAGATAAGTAATTGGGATGAAACTTTGAAACTAACGTTAGCGACTTCTTGTGGGATGCCATCTAGATTAGCAGTTTTTCTGTCCTTCATCAGTTTGGCAACTTTCATATTTTCTTCTTTAATTTCCTGCAACTGATGTGCACAATATCAAGTCTCCTGTAGGATGGCTAGTAACAAATACTTGTAATAAATACTATAGGGATATTTCCATAAACTATTCAGAAAGTTAAAAGGTCAATGGTTCTGCAATAACAGGAAAATCAATGTCAAAGTTTTGAGAGCATGTCTCTTCTATGAAGCAACATACAGATGTGTGTCGTAGACTATCTCGTTGTCATTAGGCAAGAATGTCGAGGCTTTTGAGCTGAAATGTCATAGAAAGATTCTGTGAATACAATGGACCACGAATAAAAGAAATATTCACATCCTAAAAGATCTGAATATCAAGAAAGATTGGCTAGCAAACAGCATCTTGTCTCAGACATTGAAATATTGCGGCCAAATCAAGCGGATTGGACAGAATAGTAGAAGAAGGCTTGGTATCTGGAAAGAGGGGCCCTTGCACTAAGATAGGCACAGGATAAATGTGACACGTTGGGTAGGGAAGTACGCTGAGTAGGAAATTACGTTGAGTATCAAAGTACGTTGAGTAGGAAAGTACGCTGGGTAGAAAAGTACGTTGAGTAAGAAGGTACACTGGGTAGGAAAGTTCGCGATGTGGGAGAGCTGAAGAGAAACAGATCTTCTTTCAAGCATACCGCACGAGAGACGTTCTGCAAAGGACCTTCTACATTTGGATGATGATGATTCAGGATGTGATGAAGGCGACATTAATCAAAGTACTTGGGACAAAAAAATGATAATTCAGAATTAGTTTGAATAAATAATATATGATGCGTACTGGCAAGGCAGTACAAGTCTTTACAAACTACAGCGCACAAAGTTATAAAGCCCTAATACCAACTACGAGTCTTTAGTCCTAACGTTTTTTTTTTTTTTAGTTCTAACAAATGCCAGCGAAAGTTGGAACACTACCAAAGATACAGAAGGAAAGCTAAGTGCAACAGTTTATTGAATTTGAAAATACGCGTCTGAGTAACATCATGAACACAAAATGAGTTGAGTTGAGTTGATTCAAGAACCGACATCACAGCGCTCTGTTCCCATCTTCAGGAGCCAGTGAAGAGTTCCTATACTAATAATGCCAGTAGCATTCTGATTAAACGTCCGTCTTGCCTTTCCTCTGAGCCTCGAGCATCTGTCAGAACCTCTTGTCTCTCCCCCTCCCCCGCCCCCTCTTCCCTTGCATCAGTCTTACCAGACTGTGGTGATCCATCTGCTCCTCCGAACTGTACACGCTCTCCCACAAGTCACTAACCACGACTGCTTTATCATGCATCAGTATTCCACTAAGTTGTGCAGTGCCAGCCAGTTTGTCCTCCTGTTCATTTCCCAACACACCAACGGTCCCGGTGAAAAAATAAACTGGAATAAATTCAAAAAGTGTGAGGAGATCAGAGAAATGTCTGGATAAATATCTGTATTAACTGCAGTAAGGCAAAGAAGGCAGAGATATAGTGGGCACACTCTGAGCATAGAATCCCAAAACAAGCACTGAAATGGTAACAAACGGTCTGAGAAAAAGAGGACGTGCAAGAAAAAAACATTTAAGAAGAACATTATAACGAGAGGCTAAAATCGCTGGCTGAACTCCATGTCAGAAATCGAGATGTGACGTTATACAGCAGATAAAAGAGGATGTGACGATAAATGAATAAAAGGCTGTGAATGAGCATCTCCGGTTTCTCATCGACATCATCATCAGCATGTGTCATGCCGCAATCGTAGGCTGTCATGTGTCGCCATGTCACAGAATCACCTCAGTTCAATGTTTGTGTGTCGCCCCATCCAGCTTCTCAGGCCATGAAGGTATTCATCTCTTTGTCTTCCTCTTGCTCTCTTTCGGTCAATCTTGCTAGTTGTTAGCAAGTTCCTGAGTCCATTCCTTCTCATAATATGTCCCCCCAAATGCTGACTGTTTACGTCTAATTGTTATTATCAGTTTACGGCTCTCATCCGTCTCAATGGGAACTTCTTCGTTTTCTTTTCTATCCTTCCACAACATTCTTTGCATTCTTCTCAGAAACCACACCTCTGTCATATGTATATGTTTTTCAGCTTGTCTGCTTATTGTGGGAGTCGCCGTGGCAGAGCTGCTAGACGCGCGCCGCAAATCGGAAGGTCGTGGGTTCGCTCCCTGGCGGAGCCGGACTTTTCTTCAAAAATGACTTTGGCTACCAGGTCGACCCAGCTTTGAGTGGGTACCGGGTGCAGTCTCGGGAAGTAGAGGCGGCCGGGGTGATGCTGACCACATCATACATCTTGTGCCTGGTCTATAAAATATAGGTCTAGCCCTATATGTCCTAAACGTCTAAAGGCGTGGAAAAGAATCCTTTACTTTTTTCTTTTTTAATTTTACTTTTACTGCTTATTGTCCATATTTGGCATGCAGACAACAACACAGAATCTACATAGTCCTTCAACATTCTTTTTCACACTGCAATTGACATTTTCTTGTGAGTAAAGAATCTTTTGCACATTATTAAAGACCACTTTTGGCATGGCGATTTCTGTTCTAATTTCTGTAAGGCATCGTGCGTCAAATGTTATGACTGTTCCTAATAGTTGTTGAAGTTAAATAAACTTGTTTAAAATGTGTGCCGTTCTCCCGTATTTCACACCCAATCACCTTCTTCTTCTCAGAGAAGAACCCCGGTCACCTACATGTGTCTTCTGTCTCCTTCCTTGCATCCAGCAAGGAGTTCTCATGCTGATGATGGCAATGACTGATTCAATATCATCTGTTATCTGCGTGTTAATTATTCCCTGCATCCTTAAGTCACTCCTCCCTAAATGAGCCAATCTGTTCTGCTATTTGAAGCACATGATACCAGAAGACTTTTACTATACACGCAACAATGAGTAAGATACGTCGTTTAGAAGACAATATATTGTTTTAAAAGATGGCTTCGTGTGATGTACTTTGCAGTGCCTCCCTTATTGATGCCGTCCAACTTGTGCGCTGTCGACCTTTGGAAGTGTTTACCACTGTATCTGCCTTAAACTGCTCGCTGCTGTGCCCTGTCCTGTTAACTTGCATTTCTGTCGGGACCGTGCCTCCTCTGCCCTCGGAAAGAGGTGTCCGTGTTTCACTGGCCCTGGACAGGGGAAGCAATTTCCCGACAGAAATGCTAGTTAATACACACTTAAAGACATCTCACACAGCCGAATATGAAAGCAGCACCTTATTAAAACTGAGATTATTAGCATAAGATCGCTACACCTTCCTGCACCACAGTGGTACTAGTTATTATGAAGTTATATAAAGTTAGCCATGATTGTGGCACTGGTCACCATGAAGTTATATGAAGTTAGCCATAATTGTGGCACTAGTCATTATGAAATTAGCAATGATTATGGCACTGGTCAATATAAAGTTCTATGAGGTAAGCCTTGATCGTTGCACTGGTCATTATGAAATTCTATCAAGTTAGCAATGATTGTGGCACTCGTCATTATGAAGTTCTCTGAAGTTAGCAATGATTGTGGCACTGGTAATTATTAAATTAGCAATTATTGTGGTACTGGTCATTGTGAAATTCTATGAGGTTAGCCATGATTATGGCACTGGTGATTATGAAGTTGTCAATGATTTTGGCACTGGTCCCTATGAAGTTCTATAAAGGTAGCAATGATTGTTGCTCTGGTCTTTATGTAGTTCTACGAAGTTAGTCATGATTCTGGTACTGGTCATTCTGAAGTTAGCAATTACTGAGACTCCCCGTCATTATGACGTTAGCAAAGATTGTGGCACTGGTCGTTATGAAGTTTTGTGAAGTTAGCAGTGATTGTGGCACTGATCATTATGAAGTTATATGAAGTGAGCAATTATTGTGGCACTATCCATTATTAAATTCTATCAAGTCAGCATTGATTGTGGCACTGGTCATATGAAGTTCTATGAAGTTAGCAATGATTGTGGCACTGGTCACTATGAAGTTCTGTGAGGTTAGCAATGATTGTGGCACTGGTCATATGAAATTAGCCATGATTGTGGCACTGGTCATTATGATGTTCTATGAAAGCCATGACTGTGGCATAATCATAGGTAAACATGTGGTTCTACTGTTGATTTTTATCATTTGAATGTTGTCAAAAATCTCGGGAACTGATGTCAGTGGTGAGCTCGAGTCCATCTGTGGAATCTCGCCACAAAATATGAAGAGTTTCTTCCTATAGAGCACACATCCTTTAGGGCTGCAGTCAAAGTCCCAGAGCTTAGAGACCAGCTCAAAGTCTACAGGAGATGTATCTGTGCTGAATAACTTCCACAAGCTGCCATTCGTCTGCAATAAATAAATATCTTTTCCGTGTCTGAAACTGACCATGCTCTTAGATGTTCCATCCATTGATGTTGTACTTGCATGTATTTTCTCAGTTTCTGTATTGTAGCAACAGGCTTTTACAACATTGTCTTCTGTTCTGAAAACCACAATGTATTCTTGAAACCCAGTAAGACAGTCCCCAATTATCTGCGAAGTGAAACAGGTTGACCAATCTCTTGTATTACCATAGGCACAAATATATCGACGAAGACAGTTTCTGTCATCATTGGCATGGGTGTATAATTCATAGAGACAACTACCATGTGCCACCAACATTTTCGAATTACGTGTTATTGTTCTATTTATAGATAACCAGTTCTTCTGCTTGGTGATCATACTGAGTTTTCTAACGGTCTCCGTTTCCTTATCTGTATCCTTAGCCTCATAGTGTAGATACAAGATATTGCCCGACACTATTATGTTTGCTTTGTGCAATTCTTTTAGAAAATCGTTAGGTACCTTCATAAATGTATGAGTATGACCTGTGCTTAAACTGTAAGCCATGACTTTGTCATCAGAAAGAAACACCATGACGTGTTTACTTGAGCTAGACGACCTGTGCACGGCGGCGTCCGGCCACGAGTCGTGGTGCTGGTCCACAGACAAGGTGTACACCAATGCTTTCAGCACCAGGTTGTATGTCCCGGTCTTTAGTAACAATTCCACATGTTTCTTCATGACCTTTTGAAGACATGCTGAGTTTACTAAAAGATATCTACATGCAGATAAGAGTTTCTCAAAATAGTTCTTTCTGCCTCTTTCTTTATTATATACTGGAGTAGTGTCTGGTTTATCGCAGTTGGTTGGATCCTTTCCTGGTTTGTCTGTTTTAGTTGTCACTATGTTTTCCAAACATTCTGATAAATCGCTCCTCCTGTTGTCATTTCTTATTTTTAACAAGGCATTAGATTTGATTTCCCCTCTATTCTCTTCGTCGCTATTGTTCTCAAATTCGGCGTTGTCTTCTATCATTGGATCGTTATTTCCATTTCTCCCGTCATCAGTGACATCCTTTTGGATATCATATTCCGCCTTTCCGTTACTTCCTGTCTGTTGACCCATATGTTCGTGTTTACTTCCTTCGTTATAATTTCTCTTCCCTTGGTCACCATAGTTTGTCTTTTGACCATCATCTGCTGTCTCTTGACCAGAGGTTCCCTTTGCGTTATTTCCTTTGGATTGAACAGGATGTGTCGTCTCTTGATCACCATCATCTTTCTTTTCCTCTTTCTCTCTTATGGAAAAGCTGCTTATTGCATCACTGATAAAAGAGTCTTCCTTGTTTCTATATTCTGCATCCAAAATTCCTAAATGTGGAATATAAAAAAATCAGTGTTATATATTTCAGCTATGTAAGTAACCTACATTGGTGGAGTGTATATATATATATATATATATATATATATATATATATATATATATATATATATATATATATATATATATATATATTGAAAACACGTTAATATTAAATGTATGCTCAGTATGAGCCTCAGTATCTTCTTCTTCTTCTTCTTCTGCCTTTCTATCCCCCGCCGGAGCATAGACCCTTAACCAACTCACGCCAAGTCATTCTATCCTTCGCTATTACATAGAGCTCTCTTCATGTCCCCCCCCCCCCCCCCCCCATTTTTATAACTTTATTCTCCAGCTCTCTTTTCCATGTGCTTTTTGGCCTTCCTTTATTCCTATGCCCCTGTGGGTTTATTCCAGGTGCCAATTCTGGAGGTTTTCCTAGCTGACAGGAGGTACGTCGACGATCCGGACTCCTTTCGGCTTTCTCCACACCGCGTCATACTTCTTCTACTTGAAGAGCCTCCCCTCATCTTGGTTGGCTGGGTTTTACTTGCATCTTTTTTTGACTTATCCATGGTTGGTTGGTTTTTGTGGCTATGGTTTTTACAGGATGAGGTAGCCAACCTCAAGCCCAACCCTACCCTTAGTCACCTCTTACGACATGCCTGGTAGGGTGTAGTGTCACTATTCATTGCAATGTCAAATTGAAAATGAATATAGGCGGTGTCTAATGAATATTGAACATACTCCAATATCTAATGATTCTGAAAGTCGTCAGTGTATAGTGTGTACGGATTACACAGGGGTTTATGCTTCTTTCGATAAGTGGTAATCAATAAACTGTCTGTTATATATATATATATATATATATATATATATATATATATATATATATATATATATATATGTGTGTGTGTGTGTGTGTGTGTGTGTGTGTGTAACAAAGAGACAGTTATCGAAAGAAGTAAACAGATAGAAGAGCACACTAGACAACATAAACATTGAAGAATTAGTTACCGTGCCGGGAATTGAACCTGTCACCTGAAATGGCCTGTGCTCCTCGCCATGGAAATAAGCGTTCGAAGAATTATATTTATATATAACATTTCTACGGCTTCAAGGGTTCCCCCTTTATTTATTTAGTTGAATGAAGTGTAAAACAATGTAACATACCAATCAAATCTCTTTCTTAAATGTTCGTGGATTCTAGACAAAACATTACGGTCCTCTTTGTTTGTAAATTGTGGACGTTGTTGTTATTTGACCTATGCTTGGATAATATAAATTTTTGTAACCTATGGTGCCATTTAAATATTTTGAGATGAATTTTGTCCGTATTTCATAGTTGTGAATTTCAAGCTGTACAATAGACATGCCAACGTAGAACCCATATATTGGGAGTGCCTAGCTGGTTGTGTTCTTAGTACGCTTGTGCACAAGCAACTTAGAGGTGACATGTTCGATTCCCGGCACGGTAGCTATAGCTTTGATTTTTGTGATGTCTAGTGTGTCCTTCTATCTCTCTACTTCTATCAATGAGTGCCGATTAATACACTGTCCTTTTTTGGGATAATGAGCAGGCGAGCGTCTAGCCGCAACACCACGTCAGCTCTTCCGTCTTGTTAGGCTTAAATAACATCACCTTTAAACTACTGTTGTGTCAAACAAAGACTAGAGTACTAACTTTGAACTGAAAACCCATGATTACCTGTAAACAACCATAAACAGGGTTGTGAACTTGGCTCGTAATTCACCCAAGCCAAGATGGTTTCCAGCACAGCGTCTTCAGAATCTGTTTCCAGACAGTCACTTTCAATAATTTTGTATAAATAATCAAATGGCAGCTGAAGAAAAGTTTCTTGGTTTCTAACTTGTTTGAAATTCTTGATGATAAAATTCATGGAATGATCAATTACATTTTGTGCTGAATATATAATAGCATGGTTCAGGTATGCTAAACAGCTGTCGACGGATATATTGTTAATCACAAACTTCTTACACTCCTCGATCATGTAGTCAATCTGTAGTAGTTCTGTAGCAGACCACACATCTAAAACAGTATCTTTATTGAGTCCGTCAATGCCTTTATATATGGAGTTGAGAACGATTTCGAACGTGTTCTTTGTTATTCTATCAAGTTTCACAAAGCCTTCTTGGCATTCTTTCATTCGTGAACGAAGCAAGCCTAGAAAGAAGCCAGTAGAAGCGCTGAGAATGACTTTGTGACATCGGAAATGAGTACCCTCGACCACAACTGTGAAATCACTGAAGTCGTCTCCAGCACAAAAGCTTCCAATAGATTTCTGTAGACCACAAGCTAAGGATTCTGTAAATGCCATCGCTGACATTTACCTGGTGGGTAGGTGGAAAAAAAAAAACAATTTCAATACATAAAATTGCGCTATGTGTTTGTTCTTGTGTGTTTGTTTGTGTGTGTGAGCGTGTATGTGTGTGTGCCTGTTCGATTTATTATATGTATGTGCATGTTCATGTTGTGTGTGTACATGTATGTGTGTGTTTAATCAGCAGATGAAAATAGGGTACATAGAGGTAGCACGCAATGCCTCTAAATGGTACCCAAATTTAACCATTTGATGAGACTGAACAGGATGTAGAAATTTTTTTCATTTAGTGCTACCATCAGGTTCGCTGTGGTATCAATCTATGAGACGGTAGTCTCGGATAAGAGAGAAAAGCCGGATTTACGGTATCTATAATGGAATCAAGGTTGAAGGTTTACGATATCCATAGTACTGAGCGAAAGAGTTTACAACTCATATTTTTTGGTTACTAAAAAAAAAATTTAAAGTAGTTAGTTGAAGCTCTCTTCATCATCGGCGACCGGTCGCCTGTTGACTTGCCGGTAGACAACTTCCCCGCCAAACAGGACAGTGTGTAGGTCTGTCTACTTTGATCCCACCAACACTGCAGGAATCCTTTTCAGAGTTCTAGGTCTATGCAATTATAAGCCGTTTTACACGACACACATAATCTCGTCACAAGTATAACCTAAAGTTTTCCCTACGGGGATGCTGGTTAAATGTGAAGATTTTTTTCCTGCAAAAGCACCTACCTACCTATTTTCTCTTCAAGACGTCGCAAACACCATCATTTGTTGGCTGTTGTGGTTTTTCTATGCGACTTTGCTTCTAGTAGTGGGTCATATGCTGTCTAATGGTATAACGTTTATACCAATTTCGAAATGAGTGCACAGAAGTTTACATTCAGCCCTCGCAAATCGCGATTGGAAAACATCCGTAAGCTACAGACGTGGACATAAATGAGGAACTAACCGATGAGCAATCCAACTGAGTGCGTTGACTGGCCATTTAGCCGGTATAAATTATTATTAAATAGAATTTTAACAATGCTTTCAACGGACCGAAAAGTTTGAAAGTCATCAGTGACGTAAATATAACCAGGTAACGCGTGTCCTGTAAAAGGATCATCCTAATTTGAACCACCAGCTCCATTATGAATGTAATCTCAGTTATGTTTGGAAAGTATTTTAACCATTTGAGTCATCGCCGCAATTAGACTTGATGAGGTCCTAAGCAATATAACGCCTAGAGGACCCTACAGCCAATAAAACTCTAAAATCTATTCACCTTATATAAATAATAGAATTGTAATTTCAAATAATTTTTATTAAACGAAATAATAAAAAATGTGTTTGCATTTGCAAATTCACGGAAACTATATTAAATTATCATAAGTGTGTGAGGGACATTCAACCCCACCAGGACCGTACAAGGAGCGATAAACACCCGGTGCACAAAGTGCTACTATAGGGATGAGAATTATCATGTACAAGACCCAGAAACACTGTTCGACCGTTAGGTTATATTAGGGCCCCGACTACAGTCGGAGTGGACCCAATATTTTTGTAAATAATATAGTAAAAGACTATTGTATTGAAAATATATTTAAAGACAATTGCATTTTCTTTCAAAAAAAGTTATGGCACCATATGGACAGCATTGGCCTAAAAATGGACCTAACACCAAGTAATGTTTTCAATGTGTATTTCTTTGTCCACTAAATTTATCACATTTTTACTTTTTTTTTTTTCGATTGTGATAGCACAGCTTCCAGGTTGAATTCACTGGCGAAAATGAAGAAAAATAAACAATAAAAACTGTTGCGGCAACGATTCTAAATAATTGTCAGTTGACTTAACTATTTAACTTTAGACTTTGGTGTGCTATTATCGATACTTAAAACATGTTGCACAACTGCTTACCTTATGAACCCCCGGAAGGTTTCTTTCCTAAAGCAGACATGAATTGAATAACATAAACACTGAACAATCTTGAGTGAATATAAAATTATACCACAAAAGTAAAATATATAGCAGAGTGAGGTAGCCAATCAGAAAGCATGACTTCTCTACGATGCCGTGATCAAAAATAGCAAAATAACAGAGAGTAATCGTAGAGCCAGTTATTTTCACGCGCCATTTGGTACTGTATACGTCTCGAATGTAATCAATCACTTGTTGCTATGCGTGATTTCTATTTATTCAATATACACAAAACTGAAAGCCAGATTTTCTTTTGAAACCATTCTTTGATTATTATATTTACTTCATTTAGACCTAACTACGTGATAATGAACAAACCTAACCGTAGACCGTATTTTATTTAAAAGTAAGCATGAATGATAGCCAGGACTTGTTATCTTGACTATAAACGAATAAAGGGCCCGCATTGCTGGTTTTAGAAACCTGTGTGCAGTCACTAACTCCCTTTTACTGCTTTATGCACAATAAAAACAGAACAATCACATGCTTGAGTGGAACTATCAGAAGGTTCCGAGTTAGGTGACCTATGGTTTTCCAGTCATCTCCTAGTGAGATGCAATTATTCGTTATTTTGAAGCCCCACCCTGGCTCTTGCCAGAGGCCGCAATAAAGCCCTACCATAAATATGGTCTAATGGCTGAACGCGGTTTCTGGGACCTCTCCTAGGGTGATCCTCATCCACATTGTGGCACTTTGTGTCATCGGGTTTTATCGCTTGTGTGATGTCCTAGTGGGGTAAAAATCGACTACTACTGACCCACGGACTTGGAGTGATATTAAGTTAGGAAGTGACGTAGCCCTTTGACACTCCTACTCCCAATTCAAAGTCCTAGGGGAAAAGGTATGAAAATAAGGCTGACTCTAGTAGCGCCGATGTAAATAAATTTATTGATCACAAAGAACCAGTGTTTATGTTTCGTTTCCCAACATCTGCTCCTATTTCTTCAATTCCCATTCCATTATAATTATTCACGTGGGTACCCCGTGTTGGGTCTGTTGTCGGGAATTTGCCTTCATGGTGTCCTGATTAGTGATAAAAAAAATTCAGCTGAAACGTTTGATTTTCTTTTTTCTCTCTCCCTCTCTCTTTCTCTCTCCTCTCTCTCTCTCTCTCTCTCTCTCTCTCTATATATATATATATATATATATATATATATATATATATATATATATATATATATATATATATGTGTGTGTGTGTGTGTGTGTGTGTGTGTGTGTGTGTGTGTGTGTTGTGTGTTCCCCCACACCCATTCCACGGATAAGCTTTCTAACCATATTATGTGTTCCGTAATTTCGTGTATATTGGTGAAAAGGTAATCGTATAGCAGGAACACAAGTGTGTTTGCCATATCCTAACTTACACAGGATCAGTCGCTGGCAATAAACTCTCAAACGTACACCCTTGATAATGTTAAACTTTAAACGTTGCTGCGGGGGACAGCTTACTCTGCTTTTAGTTTTTGAAATATGATATATATATATATATATATATATATATATATATATATATATGTGTGTGTGTGTGTGTGTGTGTGTGTGTGTGTGTGTTTGTGTGTGTGTATGAGTGTTTGTGCGACAGCGACATTTAAAACTGTGCCCGCAGTAAGCACTAGATGCATGTAAGTGTGACTACGACAATTATGCCTCGATCATTAAGGAGTCAATAGCACAGGATCCGAATTTTTCCTTAGGTGCATCAGACTTATGGTGCTAAATGCATAATATATACACCAGTCACCACTAGATAGATGATTTTGCCTGCCGTCTTTACTTCGCAGAGTCTTTCCTGGTGATGATGTAAGATTTTGTAGACCTGTGGATAGTAACTATGCTGACCACATCACCCACTTACAGCTGATTAGTCTATAAAATATAAGTCTTGCCCTATATGCCCAATAGCCTGACGGCGTGGGAAAAGACCCTTTGCTTACTTTTACTTAAAAGCAGGAAATGATGAATAAGCAGAGTGCTGATTGTTTTGAAAGGATAAAAAGATTATTGAATGAATAAAGGGATATACAATGGATGGCTGATTGAATAAATGAATTGAAGAGGGAATAAATAGACGGAGATACAAAAGACAGTTTTCATTAAAAACAAACACTCCCTGATGAGTTTGTATTTGTATGTTTTCGTTTTTAATGCTAATTGCTCCCATTTTGTCTTTGTCTACAGCACCCGCCTCCTGATCAAGAAGCAAATCAAAGCTCCAAGAAGACCTCCAACGATGACAGTCGTCCAGCTGACACCGGATGCCCCGATGGATTGTAGAACTGCCACAAGCTTTAATCCAGACCCAATCCTTGCTGTCAAGGACATCAGCGTTGACGCCAATGAGCCAGCGGCGATTTCTGTGTTGGTGAGAGCAGAAGTATAATTTAATTGAAAGTATCAGTTAAATGTTTATAAGTATGCGTTTAAAAAACGCCGTTACTGGTCTTTTCACTCCTTAGATGTATAGGTATATGGTGCCAACACAATATCTTTACTGACTAATTTGGACTCGCTGTGTGATGTGATCAGTCACACCTGCCGTCTGTAGTTCAAAGTCGATGACATTATAGATCGCATCTTTTGAAGGTAATGTAGTGATCTAATGTGGTGCTCTTTAATAATTTGGTCGGAATCTTTCAAAGTTGTTTGACTGCTGTCGTTGTATCTTTTGTACTGTCTTGCCTTGATTTGTGCTCATAACAATTTTTTTTTCTAGTTAGATTCTTTGTGGTAGCTGATACTAGGGAATTCTCTTTTAATGACCAAACCAGTCTAACTGTTGTTCTTGGATGAATTGTATGATTGGTTTCACTACTAGTCTTATTCTAATTGCTTAATTTGATGTCAATCCCTGCTTGTTACTCCGGTTGCTCATCTAAGATATTATTCTGTTATGATATATCGCCCATTAATTGATTTATGGGGGCGTGTTCATCCTGGGTTCATAATTTTATGCTGCGGCATGTGTGAGCTGTTGTTCTTGTGTGTGTGTATGTGTTTTTTTGATGCTGTGGGGCTATGACTGTCTGTGTGTTTTTCGCTGAAGGTAACAATTATTATGTGACCCGCAGCGGTGAAGTTGTAACTCCCGATTATTTAACTACGGCAAAAATGTTATAAAAACCCTAATGCTTCTACTTCTCCAGCCGTCTCAGCCCTTGAGGCTCATTGCTGAAGAAAGCACCAGCTTCTATTTATATCTCTCATGGCCTTATCTTTCCCTTTGATAACTCAAGTGTTGGAAAGTATGCTTGCATGTTAGGTCTCCAAGTCCTCTTGTTCTACCGCCTGTCATACTCTCAGTCATCTCTTTTATGTAAGCAGTTTGTGTCTCTCTGATATCCTTCCTCCATTCTCTTTATCATCAATCAGTAGCTGTCTCAACAGTGAAGGTTGGTTGCAATGGATCGCCAACACGCTATCCTGTTCTGGTTGTGCACTCTCTCAGAATGCTTACCATCCATCTCTTGATGTTGTCTTCCCACTTGATTTGTGACCTTCCTCTTGCTCTCTTGCCTTCGACCTTTCCCTCCGGTATGGTTTTCAACAGTGTGTTATGTCTCTTAATATGACCAAACCAGTTCAATTGTGTCTTTTGTTTATTTCTTTCAGTATTTCTTTTTTCATTTGTAGCCTTTCGGGAACATCTCTACCGGACTGTTTTTGTTTCCATGCAATACGACCTATTCTTCTGTATACCCCTATTTCCAGAGACAGTTCGATTTTTATAGTCCCTTGTTCATCATCCATGTTTCTGCACAACAATCAGGACTGAGTATACATAAAATTTGACCATACTCATTTGAGTGTGTTGTTTATTTCTCTAGCTGTCATTTTGCGCATTTTATTTAAAAAAAAAAACAGTTTTAGCCATTTCTTTCCTTTTCAATTTTTTTTTTCAAATTTGTTTCGCTTCTTCCATCATTTGTTACAACGTGTCATAGATAGAAAAAACGTATTATTTGTTCTAATAGCTCTCCGTTCACAGTGATATTCAATGCTAGCCACTATTTGTCATTCTCTCGGCATGCCCCAACCAAGCATTCTGTTAGCCCTCACCATGCCAGTAATTAATGCTGATTTTAAAAAGACCATCAATTTCGTGTTTGTTTCTCACTCTGCAGTTGCATCTTTGATGCGTCCGAAGATTTGTCCTAAGACTGTTCTCAAAGATTTCTCATAAGTTTTTGTTTTAGTTGTATATCAGGTTTCAGGGCCATAAAAAAAACAATTGGTCTTATCAGTGTTTTAGATCATGTGATCTTGGAGACAAAGCATTCAATGTTAGCAAAGTATGCTAAAAACCATACTTACTAGCCCCAAATCCAATTGTGCTGAGCAAGACAGGGATTCCAAACCATGTTAGTAAAACACCCATGATGGCGCCACAAACGATCGCTTCGTCTGCACTAACCTTCATCGGGTGTAAACACAAAACAATCAACGAGGCGAAAAACATTGTCTTCTGGATCTTCATTGCCACACTGTAGACAAGCACTCTGTTAGAAGAGACAATGAAAACAGCATTCGATCATGATTAGGCTTGTTAATTTACAAATGTGGAACACATGAAAAGCTGTCCAACCCATTCCACACAACAACAAAGATTTGTTTTCTTTTTTGTACTTTGACTTTACCAAATTTCTGTATTATTCTTTCTTTTTTTTTTTTAAATCGTTCTCAAATGCTGAATAAGGCAACTCAGAATGGTTAGACTGAGACTAAATACCTCTCTCCTGTAGTCTACCAATGGCTTATTATAAACTGGCCGCGAATTCGTGAAATAAAATGCAGAAGAAGAAGAAGACGAAGAGGAGGAGTAGGAGGAAGCAGAAGAAGAAGAAGAAGAAGAAGAAGAAGAAGAAGAAGAAGAAGAAGAAGAAGAAGAAGAAGAAGAAGAAGAAGAAACACATTAGGTTTTAAAAAATACTGGCGAGAATAAATCATCATCATCATCATGACACAATCGTCATCTTCATCATCATTATTGCCGATTGGCAAGAGCACATCTTACTTTCTCCAGTAGTATGTACGAGCGTATAAGTTCGTATGCTGAAATCTTTTTCTGTTTGTTTGAACCAATCAAGAATCTTCTTCCTTTATCTTCCTCTATCCATCTTTCAAAGTCTTATTTTACATGAATGCCAGTAGGCGAGGAAGAAGGTCTGGGTACGGACATGAATATCAACACCAACGGCATAGTCTGTAAGAAAAAGAGACACTGCAGAGACACGAACAAATGCATGTTTATATAAGTTTGTTTACTTACCTTACTAGTTTCCTAGTTTAAGAATGATACTTAATATTTAATGGTACAGATATGTAACTGAACTTTTCTGGCATCAGAGAACGCTTTCATAGTTTGCTTATTTATTTGTTAATTTAGATAACCTGACATGGTTGCATATTTCCTCATTAGTTTAGTTAGATAACATGACGTGGTTGCATGTCTCCTCACTGGTTTAAATAACAACATTACGTGGTTCTATTTTTGTATCCCAGGGTCGATACCGCTGCACAGGGAAATTGTCTAAGAAAATTGATGCACCAGGGAAAATATACTTCTAAAAATAGATGTAAGTAAACAGCAAGTTCCGAGAAACTACAGACGTTTCTAGCGGAAGAGTGGTAGAGTGGCCAGCGATTAGCTTGCTTACCCTCAGATCATGGGTTTGAATAAACATCCAATCGGGCCCCAGGGAGAGAACACTTAGGGCCCAAGCTCCCTCGCCGCCCCCCTTCACTCACCCAACTTTGTATGCATTTTCTAGGCAACACAATATGGAGAGAGAAGGGCGCCTCGCTACCTCCACCCAAATAAAATTAAAAACCGTTCCGTACCCTCCTAAATAATTTAAGAAGACATTTTGGGACATTTTTAAGAGCCCGCCCCAATAATGTTGTAAGGGGGCTAAGATACCGCTTTTAACCATTAATAAGTCTTATGTATTCATTTGGTGACGAAATGAGTTTTACACACTTTAGCCTCCAACCTGAATATCAGTTTTGTTTTTTTCTCTACGTTTTGACCTGCCTGTTTTTGGATACCCTCTTGGTAGCTACGCTACTGCCGTCATATCTCTGTCAGGGCAGATCAATGGATAGGGAGTCCAAAACCAACTAAGCACTCTTTTGGCAATCACAATGGTATTAGTTTCCAATTTTCAATATGGCAGTTTTTTTTAATTTTTACCAGAAAATCTAACTCAAAGTAAAGGCTGCCGATGTTATGTTCCCCATATCATTCACCCAGTGCTGACTGACATATAAAAATGGTCCGCGCTGTTTAGGAGATAATTAAAAAGCACCTTTATCCGCGCAGGACTACAGGTTTTACACAAGGCATATGAAGGCGTTACAAGTATCCCACTTATAAATTCGTCCTAGGATGAACGGAATATCTTAGATCCGCCCTGCTAGTCTGCTATCCAGTTTCACATTGTGTAATCTCATTGTATTTTTGAGGCTGAAATCCGCAAAAGAGGTTGTGGAGGGGAGAGCAGCCACGCAGGCAGGCATTTTACCTTAATAGGGCTATTGATGTGTTTTTTTAAGTCATACTGATACGTATTTGCACTGCTAATAATATTGCCAC